CTTTTATTCCTGGGGAGGCCCAGCTGATAATGTACATAGTTCTCTATTTTTCAAGCATTTCCTTTCTGAGATTCTAAACAATATAAAGAAAGGTAGAAACAATAGAGACATTCTTTGGTTTACCAAAAAAATATTTTTGTTTGTTTGTATTTTAGTTATAAATAGTTTCATTCAATAAAATTTATTTATTTGATGTACTACAGATGCCTTGTAATTTTACACATTTTTAAGTGCAATTTTACATTTATAAGTGCAGAGCCAAAATTCTCACAATAAATACTATTTTGTAAAAAAAATCATGTCAATTAATTTAAATAAATGTCTTCTGTTTCACATCACTCATTTTTAAAAGATATACATAATTAAAGTGACATTTTCCTTGGCCTTAACTAGCACAACTTTAAAGAGCTCCCAGGAAAGCTGCTAGTTACAAATATAGGACATTATGACTGTGTATAAATGTAAACTAAATATTAGGTGATTTAATTTTTACATAAGTTCTTAGAGCTATACTCAAGTAAGCCACGGAGACATTGGTAGTTTTACTTTACTTTTTTGCCTCTTCTGAGGCATTCTATAATACGTTTGAAATAGTTCCATTGATAAATGATGCATCAAGATGTTTTCTTATGTGCAAGGATACATTAATTGTAAAAAATAATCTTGTACAGAGAATTGACATATTGTGTTTATTCTTCCCTTCCTTCATAAATTAAAATTAGGCTTTACTGTTTATACTTACCAGCACTACAAGGGGCACTGTACTCTTCAATGATAAATTCATCTGAAATACAAATATGAAGGTATGTTGAAGAAAGTGTGAAGACATTCAATAATAGGCACTTGAGCAGCTAATTATCAGTTGTGTAGACAAAGTAAGAAAGCAGTGCTCTATTGCACAAATTAGAGATAAGGTTGTTGTTGTTGATTGCCATCAAGTCGAGTATGACTCATAGTGACCCTATCAACAAAAGACCTGAAGATTTTCTATCACTATCATCATTTCTCAAAGTTCAAAGACTTTCCGTAGGCATTTCTTTAGGAAGTAGATGCCACTCCTGCTTCCTAAATACAAAGGCCCTCCATGAGGTCTAGTTGACTCTAAACAAGAGGATTACATTAAAAAACCAACTAATATGACATGTTGTTGTTGTTAGGTGCCATTGACCCACAGCAACCCTACTATGTATGCAGCAGCTCTGAATGCTTCCCTGTCCTGAGATGATTTATTTTTATTCTGAGCATTTATTCTGAAGATTAAAGGATTGATGGAAATGGATCATGAGAGAAAATTAGGCTTGATATGGACACATGGGCAGGGTCAATTAGATAGCTCATATGAGTTTAATGATGTGGTTGTTATTGTTGTCAGAAGCTATTGAATCAAATACGACTCCTAGTGACTTTATAAATAACAGTTCTGAGTCCTGTCCTATCCTGTGCCATCCACATTATCTCTGACACACTTGAGCCCATTGCTGCAGCTATTGTGTCATTCTGTCTCCTTGAATGTCTTCTCCTCTTTGCAAATCCTCCCTCCACCTTTCCAAGAATAATGTCCCTTATCAAGGAATAGCCTCTCCTAGTATGTAAGTTGAAGCTTTACCATCCTTGCCTCCAAGAAGAACTCTGGTTGCATTTTCTCCAATATATATCTGTTTGTTCTTTTGGTAGTCCCTGGGATATTGAGTACTCTTCTCTAACATTACAAATCAAAGGTATCAACTCTTGTTCTGCCATCCTTATTCATTACTCAGTTCTCAGATGCATACCAAGTGGTTGAAATAACCTTAGCCTGAATTAGGCACACTTTGATTTTCATGCTGACATCATGGTTCTTCAGTAATCTGGAGAAGTCTCTGACTGTGGGCTTGCCCAATGCACTAAGTCAGCTGATCTTTCTATGGCTGGTACTAATGCTGTTGATTGTGGATCAATGTAAGATGAAAACATTGATAATTTCAATCTTTTCTCTATCTATCATGATGGTCCTGATCAGTCTAGCTGTTGTTGTTGTTGTGTGCCTTCAGGTTGCTTGTGACTCATAGCAACCCTATCTACAACAGCTCTAAACCCTGCTCTATCTTTTGCCAACCTAATTGTTTCTGACACCTTTCCCCATTACCCCAGTGATGGAATCAATCCATTTCATCAAAGGTATTCATTCCTCTCCTGTGCTGTCCCTGCACCCTCCTAAGCATGACGTTCCTCTCCAAGGACTGATCCCACCTGGCAACATGTCCAAAGTATGTCAGACAGGGCTTCAGAATTCTTGCCTCCAAGGAGCAGCTTGGCTTCAACCTCTCCAGGACTAACTTGTTTGTTCTCCTAGCAATCCATGGTTTATTCAATATTCTTCTCCAGCACCAAAGCTCAAAGGCATCAATCTCCTATCATCCCTAGTCATTGTCTGATGCATAGCAAGTAATGGCAAAGACTAAGGCCTGTATCAGATGCACCTTAGTCTCCACGCTGACATTGTTGCTCCTTAGTACCTTGGATATGTTTCTGATAGCAGATTTCCCCCAATACTATTCATCTTTTAATTTCCTAGCTGCTGGTACCAAGATTGTTGATTTTAGAGCCAAGAAAACTGAAGCTGTCAACAATCTCTCAATCTCTTTACCATCTATCATGATGCTGCCAATCAGCCCAGCAGTTAGAATCTTTGTCTTCTTGATGTTGAGCTTCAATCCTTATTGAAGGCTGTAGTCCTTGACCTTCTGCAGAGAGCACTCAGTTTCACCAAGCAGGGTTGTGTCTGCATAAAGCAGATTGTTGATGAGTCTATCTCCAATATTGATGCCACATTTCTTCTCATAGAGTCCAGCCTTCCGGACAATCTCTTCTGCACATACATTGAAAAAATATGGAGATAGTACACATCCTTGATGCACACCTTTCCCAATTTTGAACCATGCAGTGTTTCCTTGCTCTGTTCTGACAGCTGCCTCCTGGTCCAAGTATAAGTTTCGCATAAGCACAATCAAGTGTTCTGGGATTCCCATTCTTCTCAAAGTCAGCCACAGTTTGTTATGATCCAGACAGTCAAACACCTTTGCATAATCAATGAAACACAGGTAGACCTTCATCTGGTACTCTCTGCTTTGAGCTAAGATCCATCTGACCTTAGCTATAATATCCCTAGTGACAAAGCCTTTTCTAAATCCATCCTGCACTTCAGGCAGTTCTCCGTTGATGTGCTGTTCCAGTCATTTTTGAATGATCTTCAGCAGAATCTTGCTTGCATGTGATATCAATGATATTGTTTGATAATTTCCACACACTGTTGTATCACCTTTTTTTGGAATGGGAACAAATATATATCTCTTCCCAAACAGCGTACCTCTGGGATTGGAATGCAGCTTCTTGCCACTAGGCCACCAGCACTCTTAATCAGTCTAGTCATGAGGGTATTTTTATTCTTAGTGTTGAGATACAATCCATATTGAAGGCTATAATCTTTGATCTTCTGCAGCAAGCACTTGAAGTCCTCCTTACTTTCAGGAAGCAAAGTTGTGTCATCTGCATAATGTAGGTTGTTGAGGAATCTTCCCCCAATCCTGATTCTGATTCATGAAGTCCAGCTTCTCAAATGATATGCTCAGCCGACTGATTGAATAGGTAAGTAGTAAGGATACAACCCCAAAGCACAACTTTCTTCATTTTAAATCGTGCAGTATTCTCTTGTTCTGTTCAGATAACAGCTTCTTGGTCAAGATGTAGGTTTCATTTGAGCATAATTAGATATTCTGGGATTCCCATTCTTTTTAGTCTTAGCCATAGTGTATTATTAACAGATCCAAGGTGGGAAGTGGGGGGCTGAGGGGTAAGGATGGGGGGACATAGGGGATTTAATTATAGGGTGGCACAATTTGATGGCTGGAGGGAGGTAAAAGAAATGGGAAAGATCTGATGAGAAAACAATGTTTGCTAATTTTGTAAGTAAACTAGTTATAAAATAAAAAAAAATTATTTAAACAAAAGAAAAAAGTTATGAGTAAGTAGCATAAATTCCTGATATATGGAAATGTTTTTAAACTTTTTAAGACTATCAAAGCACACAGTGACTAAAACAATGTGCTCATTTGTGAGGATGGTACAAGATCCAATAATGTGTCATTCTGTTGGACACAGGGTGGTTTGGAATCAGAACTGACTTTATGCCATCTAACAATAACAATCCAAAAGAACAAGTATAAAATAAATAACATTAGGTCTCCTAAAATACATCAATACTAAGATATAGCCTTTTACTTATTCTTGTTCTTTTCATAATTTTTGAGTAGTCCAACCCATACCAAAATGTTGTAGAATTTTGACAGAACTCATTGCCCATAATTGTTTTCTTTTTTGGTACACACCCTTCCCAATTTTTTTTTCACTAGCTTATTTACAAAATTCTAATACAAAATCAAACAAATTCTTTCAATTTCCCTCACCTCCCCACCCATCAAATTGTACAATGATTAATTCTCTCTTCCCCCTTGAAATCTACATCCCTCTGCTTCCAGCCTCTCCCCTCCTCCCCCCGGACCTTTATACTCATTCTACATAATGGTTTTATACAGTATTTATCTTTGTGGGACTGGGTTAGTTCACTCAGTATAATGCTCTCCAGTCCCTCCAAAGTTACAAAGTTATTGCTCCTGTGTGCTGCATAGTATTCCATTGTATGAATGATAATCAATTTGTAAGAAAGGTTCTAAGAACTATTAAAAAAGTAGATAGTAAACTGATAATATACTTTATGATTATTCGGTGATTGTAAACTCACATTTTCTTCAATTTCAATATTGTGATGCTTTCCCCCCCACAGAAGAGACAGCCTTTTAACTACATAAATAGATCGTTTATTTGTTCATCTATAAGCCTCAGCATGGCTGGATCTCACTTACCTGTCTCATAATAATCATAAGCTTTGACTGTAGCAGGTTTTAAATTCTCTACTTCAACATCTTGTTCCACTAGGAAGGAGAAACTCAAGGTTTGATTGGTTAGCTAAAAAGACAGGAAAACAGAATTAAAATCAAAGGTAAGAAAGTTAACCTCTCATATTAAGATATTACCAATCCCCGATATCCAACCAAAACTTATAGAAATAAGTTTTAGGTGAGCTCTGGTGGCCTAGTGGCAAGAACTTGCACTGCAATCTCAGAGGTGCACGGTTCGAATCCACCAGATACTCTGCTTGAGAAGGAGGAACAATCTTCTCCTGTACCAGTCAGATCTGATTTGATGGTACACACAAAAAATAATGAAATAAAAAAAAATAAGTTTTAGAAATAATGGGTGATTTTGAGATTTACATGACACATTCTAGTGTCAGATAAAATGAGAAAAAAGACAGTTGTACAAACAGTCAAATATAATAAACTGTGTTTTCTTGATCAATGTAGACCTTATTCTGTGTTCATTTTCTCCTCCCTAACTTATATTCACAGATGACTCGATTTGATAATTGGATAGAACTTCTAAAGTCTTCAGTCGTCTTTCTGGGCCTAGTACGATGGGATGGAGCTTCTTACCTCTTCAAAGTAAATTAAGACGTGGTTGGTGCTCACTTCAGTCCTTGGAATCTGAGGCCTTTCTTGGAGCTGTTGACCAAGAGCATAAATCAGAAATGTGGAATGAGAAAATTTTCAGGAAAGAGCAGTTTTAAGTATTTATCATCTAAATGGCTTCTCAAAGCATTCAAACTATTAATATTAGTTTCTTCAGGAATAAGAGTAATGATGAAAGTGAAATTTTCTGAATTTTCACTGTGTTCCAGTCACCCTTTTAATTGCCTTTATATGTGTAAATGGTATAAATTTTATATGTGTAAATGATATGAATTTCAGATAAACATTATATAATAATTTTCAGATCAATACCCTAATTATCTTCTTTTTCAGACAAGAAAATGAGTCCAAGGAGATTAATTTGTGTAGAGTTTAGATGTTCTGAAAAACATTTAGAATTATATTTTAAGGAGGTGCTCAAGTTTGGAAAATAATAATAATAATCATATGTACTTGTTATTTATTACAAATGCCATTAAATTTCATTTTGAACTCTTCATATAATATTTTAATATCAATTATATTTAAATATAAAGTGAATTTTGTTTAAATAGGTTAATATTTGAATAGTTAAGTGTTTGTGCTACCCAAGGACTCCATGCCATTGTATGTTGTTATTGTTGTTATGTCCCATCAAATCGCTTGCAACTCATAGCGACCCCATGTACAACAGTCCTAAACCCTGCTGGCTGTATCCTGTGCCAATCGCACTGCCTCTGACACACCCATCCTGATTACCCCAGTCATTGAATCAATCCACCTCATAGAGGGTCTTCCCCTCCTGCGCCTGCTCTCTACCCTCCCAAGCATGATGTCCCTCTCCAAGGACCTGTCCCTCCTTGCAACATGCCCAAAGTATGTCAGACAAAGCCTCAGAATCCTTGACTCCAAGAAACAGCCTGGTTTAACCCTCTCCAGGATGAATCTGTTTGTTTTCTTTGCAGTCCATGATACAATCAATACTCTCCTCCAGCACCACAGCTCAAAAGCATCAATTCTCCTTGTATCCTCCTTGGTCATTGTCCAACTCTGTGATGCATAACAACTGATTGCAAAGACCATGGCCTGTATCAGGCACACCTTAGTCTCCAGGGAGACACCGTTTCTCTTGAGTACTTTAGAGAGGTCCCTAACAGCAGACTTTCCCATCGCAATAAGTTTTTTGATTTCCTGGCTACTGGTGCCAAGAATGTTGACCGTGGAGCCAAGCAGACTAAAGTTGTTAACAATCTCAATCTCTTCACCATCCATCCTGATACTGCCAATTGGTCCGGTGGTGAGAATCTTTGTCTTCTTTACAGTGAGCTTCAATCCATACTGAAGGCTGCAGTCCTTGACCCTCTGCAGCAAGCATTTCAGATCCTCCTCAGTTTCAGCAAGCAGGGTTGTGTCATCTGCATAACGCAGATTGTTAATAGACCTTCCACCAATCCTGACACCACACTTCTCATAGAGCCCAGCCTCCTGGATAATCTGTTCTGCATACAAGTTGAAAAGGTATGGAGATAGGACACATCCCTGGCATACGCCTTTCCCAATTTTGAACCATGCAGTGTTTCCTTGCTCTATTCTGACAACTGCCTCTTGGTCCAAGTATAGGTTTCTCACTAGCACGACCCCATTCTTCTCAGAGTCAGCCACAATTTCTTATGATCCACACAGTCAAACGTCTTTGCATAATCAGTGAAGCACAGATATACATTCTTCTGGTATTCTCTGCTTTCAGCTAAGATTCATCTAACATCAGCTACAATATCACTAGTAGCTGATGATGCCATTATATACACTATTAATATGATAGAAAACAAAATTTTAAGAAACAAAAATATCTTAAAAATTACATTGGCAAAATTGTCAGCTAAAAAAATAATCATTTGTCATACCTTTTCTGTTAGGAATTTAGAATTTACCTTTTTCACTGATAGTTTCATAGGTATGAAGCCTGATACCATCTTCACATCAACAATGGCCATATTGGAGCTCGGTCGTTCCCCAGTATAACTATGAAGTAAAACAAACAAGCATTAGGCATGTTACTACGTACACTGGAATTAATTTAAGACAGCAATGTCACCCATTTTATTTTATTTTATTTCTAGAGTTTCCTCTCCCTAACTACCACTCAATTTCTGTATCTACTCTATTTGCTTTTATTTATGATTTTATAGGAAAAAAGGACAAACCTCCTCACTTGATTCACTTATTCTCTGGAAGTATGGCAACATTCTGGTCTCTTTCATTAAGAAGGAAGAAAAGTTTTTTTCAGTAAAAAGGAAGAAAGTTTCATTTTAATAAATACTGCTAAAAAGGTAATGGCTAACTAATATAAATACTGCTGATGTTTTGTATTCATTACATATGACTTTGGACAGTGGAGCTGCCCATACAAGAAAAGAAAAGATCTGGTATCAATGAAGGATTTACCTAATGTTGATAAGAATCTGGAATCTCTTGTGAGCTCTTGCATCATTACAACTCTTGGGCAGCGTATCAACCATCAAGGAGAAGGGAGATTTCCGATCTTTCTTTGGTAATATATTGTATCTCAAGGATGTCTAAAATGAATTGAAAGAAACATTCTTTATAATTTTATTGAAAGAGTTTATCAATCTCTTCCAGATAACTCACCTGTTCTCTTAGCTCCTATTTTTCTTTGTACTTCTGAAGTTGAAAATTCATTGAGACTTTCTTATTTCTAGAATTCCTCAAGATCTGAAAAACAATCTCACCTGGAGATACACACATCCTGATCCAGACACCGTTGTGCTGTACTCTCCTGGAATCTCTGGCAGTTGCACCTCCTGCAGCAATAGGCGGTTGGCATTGTCTACCTGGAATTCTTTGGTGAATGCCCCTGAAGACTTGACTGTGACAGTAGTTGTTTTCTCTCTTTTAGTGAAAATCTGTGCTTCATATTTGGCAAGGGCTTGGAGAGCTACCACTGTATCCTGTAAAAAATTGTGTAGAAATCACAGGTATGTAAGAGAAAATGATAATAGATGTAAAGTATATTAACACCACTATCTCTCATATATTTTTATTTCCAGTCAAGATAAAACCTTCCAGTGGGTTTTCATTCAGAGGCAGTCAATCACACAGGAGGAGATTGTCCACCTTTCTACCACAGATCACTTTGTTATTAAAACCATATGCATTTTAAGTTGGCAGCACTACTCCTTAGGCAACCAGAGCTCCTTTCTCATATGTTGTTGTTGTTGTTTTGTGCTGTCTAGTCGCTTGTGACTCATAGCGACCCTATGTACAACAGCCCTAAACTCTGCTCTGTCTTGTGCCAATTGCACTGTCTCTGACACTCCCATCCTGATTAACCCAGTCACCGAATCAATCCACCTCATAGAGGGCCTTCCCCTCCTGAGCTGTCCCTCCACCCTCCCAAGCATGATGTCCTTCTCCAAGGACTGGTCTCTTCTTACAATATGTCCAAGTATGTTAGATGGATCCTCAGGATCCTTGCCTCCAAAGAACCACCTGGTTTAACCCTTTCCAGGATGAATCTGTTTGTTTTCTTAGCAGTCCATGGTACTCTCAATACTTTTCTCCAGCACCACAGCTCAAAGGCATTAATTCATAATCCTTAAATGGAATTTTGATTCTTTTCAAATCAAGTTATTAATCAAGCATAAAAATTTTTTGGTAATCAGATATCTTACAATATACATGTGAATATTATACTCAACTATCTAACACAACAAGAGGTTATTTCAATAAGTTATAAATTTATTCAATAATATTTTTGTATGGATATTACAAAAGAAAGAAAATAAACATGTGATAGACTATTAATAAACTACTACAAAGAAAATGAGAAATAAGATAGTTGTTGCTGTTGTTATGTACCATCGAGTCACTTGCGACTCATAACGACCCTATGTACAACAGCCCTAAACTCCGCTCTGTCCTGTGCCAATCGCACTGTCTCTGACACTCCCATCCCGATTATCCCAGTCACTG